CAGGCCCTTGCGCTTTCCAGGGCAGCGCTTATTCCACTAAGCCATCTCCCTGGCCTTTTTTTTGTATTTTAGAAAAGGTTCTACAGGGTGTTCAGGTGTTCAGGGTCTCACTACTAGATTGGATTTGTAGTGATCTGCCTGTTTACAGCCTTCCAAGAGCAGGGATTATAGGCATGCACCACCACGCCCAGTCTCAATTGCTGTCTCAGCGTGCCTCAGAGACTCGTTCAATCCCTGGTACCACACGCACGCTGAACTGGCCAGTGAGACTGGCATGGTGGCCCACACCTATAATCCCAGTGCCAAAGCTGAGTAAGAAGATATAAAAACTTTGAATAACCCAATACCAGGAAGTAAAATTGAAACTGTAATAAGAAACCTACCAACAGTACCAAAAACAAATAAACCAAACCAAAAAAACTTACCAATAAAGAAAAGCTTAAGTCCTCATGGATTCACAGCTAAATTCTACAAGAAATTTAGAGAACATTTAATGCCACCTCTTCTCAAATGCTTCAATGAAATTCAAACTCATTCTTGGAGACAAACTTCATTCTGATACTAAAACCAGAGATAGACCCAACTAAAAAAAGAGAACTATAGGCCAATCTCACTCATGAACATAGATGCAAAAATCCTCAATAAAGTACTAACAAAAGAATGTAACAAATCAAGAAGATTATACATCATAACCCAGTAGGATTCATCCCACAACTGCAGGGATGGTTCAACACATGAACTTCCATAGATGTAGTATACCACATCAACAGAGCCAAAGATGAAAACCACGTGATCATCTCAACAGATGCAGAAATAGCTTGTGACAAAGTGCAACACTCATTCAAGATAAAAACCCTTCAGAAAATCAGAATAGATGGTCCATATCCCAACTTGATAAAAGCCATCTATGAGAAACCAACAGCCAACATCATACTAAATGAACAAAAACTAAAAGCCTTCACTTTAAAATCAGAAACAAGATAAGATTGTCCACTCTCACCACTTCTGTTCAATATAGTTCTGAAAACATTAGCTATTGATAAGAATGAGAAACAGAATAAATGATTGCAAAGGAAGAAGTGAAATTATCATTATTTGCAGAGGACGTGATATTCTTCACAGAAGACCCCAAACACTACACCAACAAACTTGTAGATTTAATAACCAAATTCAGTAGCGTAGCAGGATACAAAGTCAACACTCAAATATCAGTAGCATTTCTGTACACATACAATGAATGCACTGAGACAGAAATTAGGGAAACCATGCCCTTTACAACAACACCCAAAATATGAAATACTTAGGAATCAATCTCACAACAGAAGTAAAAGATTTATACAGTGAAAGTTACAGTACTCTGAGAAAAGAGATCAAAGAGGATTTCAGAAAATGGAAAGCTATTCCTTGCTCCTGGAGAGAGCAAAAAGAAAACCCATGAAATGGAAAAGAATTATAGCTGACTTTTCACCTGACAAAGGCCTTCTATCTAGAACATATAAAGATTAAAAAGAAAAAAAAAATCAGGCCCCCAAAATTCAAAAACCCAATCAAAAAATGGGCATCTGAGATAAATATATACTTCTCAGATGAAGAAATACAAATGCAAATAAACATATGAAGAAATGTTCAATATCATTGGTCATTCAAGAAATGCAAATTAAAACAATACTGACAGTCCATCTCATCCCAGAAAGAATGGCTATCATCAAGAAGTCAACCAATAACAAAATGCAGGAGGGAAAAAAAAAAATGCAGGAGGGCCTGTGGGGAAAAAAGAACCCTTTTCCACTGTTCGTGGGAGTGCAGACTTGTATAACTACTATGGAAATCAGTGTAGAGATCCCTCAAAAAGCTAGGATTGGAAATCCCACTGAAGCCAGCTATTCCCCTCCTAGGTATTTTTCCAGAAGAACTGAAAACATCATATCACAGTGGTATGTGTAAACCATGTATACAGAAGCACAATTTGTCATAGCTAAATCTTGCAAGGAACCCAAGTACCCATCAACTGAGGAATGGATAAAGATGTGCACTTTTTACATAGAGAGGTATAAGTATTAATATCTCAAGAAAAAAGTACCATTCAAAATATACCTTAAGTTGAATTAAACAATATTGAGAAGGACAAACCCCACAAAGCAGAGCAAAGAAAAAATATGAGCTAAGAGACACTTAGTACATTAAGCCTCAATCTAGAGTTCAAGTTCTAGTTAACAGGTTTTCCAAGGAAAAATGTTTATTGATCAAATATATCATCTATCTTATAGTACTTTATAATTAATAAGCTAAAAATCTTAAAAGGTTTAACAGTTGATTTTCCAAATTTGTGGAAAAGTTTGCGAATAATTTGGAATAATTCTTAAGACAAAACATTATGTACAGTTTTTCTAAGTGCTTAATACTAAACTTATGGTTTTACTTGAGTAAATAGTGGCTTAAGAAAAAAGAGCTAAATCAGAAACTGTCCATTAACAGTCTAAGGATATGAATAATTAAATGAGATAAATCCAAGGAAGAAACTGGTTTTCTCTTCCTATATATTAGTGTCTGCATCTTGTACTATGAATAACTACTACAAAGACAACAATATGCAATGTATTAATTATTGTAACTGTCCTAACATGTTTTGAAACTGTCTCATTGCTATTTCTTCCTCAATAAAAATAATTTTATTTTATTTTTTGCAGAACCAGGGATTGAACTCAGATCCTCTTGCTTGCCAGGCAAGTGCTTATTCCGCTGAGCTCTCTCCCCGGCCCTAATAAAATTAATTTTAAAAAAACATATATATCTCCCAGTTTCTTTTGTGGCAGAAAGAATTACCTTTACTGAGTTCTTTGACTTCCAAAGAGGGAAAGAGAAGATAACGAATATTGACAGAGTATTCAGCTAAACGTGATCCATGATGAGGAACACTATAAAAAATTATTCCTCTGGTATTCTTTATAACAGTGCTCATTTCTGGCTTCTTAGAGGCTTCCAATAGCATTTTTTTGACAAGAAGACCTAGGCAAAAAAACCAAAAAAACAAAAAACAAAAAACATTATTTTAAAACCAGGTAAAGCATAATTCCTGTATTTCAAAAAACAGCTTCTTACAGAATTAACACTTATTAACATTCCTGATCCTTTAGAATTCATAGAACAAGCCGTTAACAGGCAAGACTCTAGAAACTTATCTGCAGGGCAGGAAAGATCTTCCCATCCCAGAATCCACGTCGCTCTGCAGGCATATCAGTCCCAGATTTAAACTGGGTATCGTATCATTGAGGTGACTGCAGCTCCCCACCCTGCCACATAGCCTGCACCCAGGAGACCACAAAGATGCAAAGTTATAGTCCCACCAAGGGCACCAACTGCTCTGGAAAAGGCACCTAGGAAGGCATCTTTTCCTCTATCACTCTACTCAAGTAATATGTACAAAGAGCACAAAGAAGGCAACTACAGATCTTTGAAGGGCTACAGCTACCTTTCTTTCAGCAAAAAGATGACCTGGGCTTGGCCATCCTGAGTATTTCATCAGATAAAGTGGGCTGGGGGCTGCAGAAAGGGCATCTCCAAGGCGGGTGGGAAGACAGCAGGGTTAGGGAGAGCAGCATGGGCAGAGCAACCTGAAGAATGCAATGGTGAGGGGACACAGGGAGGATGAAACGAGAGGCCTGCCATCCAGCAATGCTGGGGATCCAAGTCCAACTTGTAAACATCCCTTAGTATAAAGCTGACAAATTACCAGGACATGAAAGCATCAACCCCTGCTCTCTTGCATGGTTTGTATTAGTTGTCCTAATTTCTAGAAAAACAAAGGGCAGAGAAGGAGAGCAGCAATATTAAAACAGGGGTGGGTTGGGGGGTGCTGCAAGTGAGTAAATAGAGAAATGAAGGAACTTCAAGTAAGCCCCACTGGTGACAACTTCACAAGTCATTCTCCAAAGATTAAACCATTCTTACCTCCCATACTGTGCGATATCCAAATTATTGGTCTATCCCCAACACCAGCAGCTCTGAGCTTCCTAAGAAGTTCATTGCTTCTGAATGCAATGGATTTTCTGAACAAAACAAAAACAGCAGGCATGACACGAGGCATGATCCCCCAAATCTTGCTATCTAACTACAAGTCCAGAATGCTATATACTTTATTTTGGAGTGAGGGATACCCCCACTTGCTTAGTTTCTGAAGTTGCTCACTCTGCAGCTTACCACACTCGCATAATTAGAGCCACCTATTTACACAATAGCCCATTTGTGTACTAAAAAGTATTGTTTCAGCATCAAATATGTCTGGCAGTTTTTTTAGGTCAAACCTGGAGTCTTAGCCCAACTTCCACGAGCAATTAGGGGAAGTGTGTGTGAGTTCCTTTTTTTTTAGTTTTCATTGTTTATTGTGGCATAATAGAAGCAACAAAAGTTAACACAACAGTTTTTACTACATGATTCAGTAATTTCATGTTTCTTAAATTGCTAGGTGTGTGAGTTCCAATTCCACTGTCTGATGATAAAAGACTCTAGACTCTATTGTCTCTTCTGCGCATTTTGATTCTACTTGTATTCATTCTGTAAATATTAGGCTTTCATAATTTTGGTTTATTATTTAGAAATATATGAACTATTCAAATTGGTGAATTCAAACTAAGTAATTCTATTTATTTAATTACTTAAAAAATTTAAAACTCATTATTTATTTGGTACAAGGTCTCACTACACAGCTCGGACTCATAGTGGTCATCCCATCTCAGCCTCCCCATTGCTGAGATCACAGGCATGAACCACCATTTATGGTTTCAGTGGCCAGCGCAGTGCACCTGGGATTCTGTAGTCGACACAGCATTCTGTACCAGGATTGAACTTAGGTCCTTGTGCTTGCCAGGCAGCCGCTTAGATGGCTGAGCTATCTTCCCAGTACCATCAAACTAAGTAATTTTAAAACTAAAGGAATACTTCAAAATTATCCAGCTTGATAGTTGCAACCTGTTTATCTATAAATACTCTTCTTCAGAACAAAGGTTCCCAGAGCTCCCAGGAGAAAACAGGAGACCTGGACCCTGCTGCTTGCCCTGAGCATCTTCTCAGGCACCTTTGCCAGCTCCATGCAGGCAGCAGTGTTTTATAACAATGAGTAGACCTTCTCCCTCAATCTGTACATGAAGGTTCCCACATGCATTAAACTATCTAACACTAGTCAGTGAGTTAAAGGCACAACTGAGCTACAATCAACATCCTATCCCTAGAAAATTTTATTATTGAATTACAAAGGAACTAGGTTTGGAGCACAATAGTGATAATATATCTAAGATTTCACTGTTTCGATAAGAAAACCCTGGCTTAGAGTGTAGTTCAATGTTAGGGCACGTACCTAGGATGTTCATGACCCTGATATTCATCGAATTTGATCTCCAGCATTAAAAAAAAAAAAAAAACCCTGCTTATGGTATTAAAAGATAAAAATCAATTCCCATCTCAGAGGATCTGCTTGACCTGAGCCTTTCTTTATTTAATGTCTCCTCTAAAGTTACCTTTCCATAGGGCATCTTGCTCTCCAGTCACTGAGGCTGGTGTCATACTCCACAGATATAATTCGAAGAGCAGGACAGTCTCTTGCTAACCATGTCTAAGAAAAATGAAAGTCACATAAGAACATGCATGAATTCCACTTCAACTTACTTCAACTTACTCTTAGTAGTTGAAATTATAACTAAAGGCCTCAGGCAATGAACAACTGATTAAATACAATGCTGAAATAAAGACTGAAGGTGACCACAAATAAAAGATTCTATCTTTTTATAATCTCTGGACAAAGTAATATGAACAGATCACCAGCATATTCTCAACTTAATCTGGTATAGCCCAGAGTGAAGCTTGTTTTTGGAGTCTAGATCCAAAAGGCTTTTAAAAGCATTTAGTCAAAAGCCATGATCTCTGAACAGTCTGTGTAGTCCAACTGAGAACTTTGGACCTGAGAATTCAAAGATAATAGTGACAGGTACAGTTCATCTTTGGGACTCCTGGTTTCACGGTCATCTTCACACTTCAGCATCACTAACTCTCTGTCTTTGTGAAGGTGAGCAAAAGGTAGTCAAGGAAAGCCCTGAAAACTATCCCCACCCATATGGAGCACCAATCCAAAATGAGCTTTAGTTAAATTCCATTCAATGAATTTATTCTAGTGCTAAGGCTCTCTGGAAAAAATAATAAAAAAGAAATACGAAGTAGAATTACTCTTAGAAATCTTTCTAGTTTTATAACTATAATAATTATAAAGTTATTAGATAATTATAGTTATATTACTTTTTATTATGCTTCAATGGAAGTGAGTTATGTTCTTACCCCTAATTTTTACTTAAGAGAATATTCTTTTAGAGGCTATCCCCTAAATGTAAACATACTACAAGTGTCCCTAAATCCCAGAGGAGAAAAGATACAAGACACAGGGAAGCTGCAAGAGCAGTGGCACATCAGCTGGCCAGAGCTGCTGCTCCTTACCTTGGGCCAGCACGTGGTATACCTGTCTTCATCCTCCAAAGCCTTTTCAGTCAGAACCTGCTCAGTGTCCTGCTGGCGCCATGTTTTGAATGCTGCTCCCATAAGGCCATGAATAAAAAGGACATCGGCTTTAATGGGCTGACTAGGAGGAGAGAGATTTTTAAAGAGAAGCAGAATAAACGCATTATTGCTATGATAAGACTTTATACATCATCCTGTGGGTGATGCTTTGGCAGGCTTACATGATATAAAATAAGAATTATGGCCAGTGTTAAAGCACAAGGATTACTTAAGTATCCTTGAAGGACTCTGGACAAAGAAATACACAGCGCATGTCACTTCTCTAACAAGGGAGCTGTACCTAGCTAGGCAGACCAGCCAGAGGTGACTACAGTGAGCTCAGAGGTTGTGTAAGTGACAGACTACCCTCTGAACAAGTTCAAAAAATATACTAAAAATCTAAGTATTTGACAATCAAAAGATATGTTGATATAGTTTCAAAGTCAGTATACACAAAACATCAAAATTTTATTAAAGAAAACATTTATAGGGCTGGCCTGATAGCTCAGTGGACTAAAGTGGTTTGATCAAAAAAATAAATAAATAAAGTGGTTTGATCCCCGGTGTACTGTGCTGGCCCTGTCTACAGGGTGCAATGAGATGGCAACTGAGACTGGGCTTGGTGGCACACACCTGTAATCCCAGTGGTTGGGAGGCTGAAAACAGGAGGATCACTAAGAGTCCAATCTACATAGTGAGACCCTGTAGACCCTGTCCTGATACAGAAATAAATAAATAAATAAATAAATAAAATATTTATGAGATGTTAGGCTAGTATGTTTTTTCTTTGGAGATAGTAAAAATTATAGCTAATGCATTAGTTACAAACTATAGTATACATGTAATTATATAACACATACATAATATAATCATTTTATTTACAAATTGGAATTGAATATTCAATTCCACTTAATTGGAACTGAATTAGATTTTCAAATTTCAATCCTTTTGCTATTTCTTGAAATTGTTTCTAAAGTATGAAATGAAAATACAAGAACTATGTACATTTTTCATTGCCAGTCTTTCTATACGTACTGCCTCAGCAATGGCACAACAGGAAACAGTAACCAGCAACAACATTAAGAGGAACAAGAATGTAACTTTTTATATCTGATTCCTTCCTAGTGCATTTTGACTCTTAGCATAAATGTTCACCAGCCTGCAGCTCCAAGCACACACTGAGGTTCATCTGGCTGCCTACATCAAGGAAGTAATATCTTCTTCCAATTTAGACTAACTTCTGCAACCCAAATCAATTACTGACTCAGATCTAAGTGAAAATGCCTTGAAATGAAGAAAATACACATTACAAAGTGAAAGTGCTACACAGCCTAACAGGTGAATGCAACCTCACTGGAGGGTGGCCATCTGCAGAGAACCCTGACGATTTACTTCTTGTGCCTTCATACACCCTTCAGCTCTTCTGAGGTTATTACGGACAAACCATTTCAGTACTAAGTATTTGATTTATGAATAAGGTATTGAACTTATCTAACTTATGCAGAAGTACATTAAAACTTTAAGTCCTCTGGCTTTATGTCCTAAAGAGAACAAAGCCAGTATCGTTTGCTCACCTTGTTCGGTGCTGGGGATGAAGCACGTACACGCCATCCTGGTATTTCTCTTGCACAGTTTCTCGATCTAGGTTAGCCAGAGTTCTGGCAGCATGTGATGCCTCCATTATGTGCTGAGATTTCAATGCTTCTGCCATTATTGTCACCCAGCCTAGTAAAAAGAAAAGATCTGAATACTAACCCAAATCTGTCTCACATTGTAGGGAGGTTTCAAATGGAAACAACCTGTTGGAGAAAGGCAACCCTCAAGTGTTCGTCCTGGGTGGGGCAGCCTGACATGCTAGCTCCATTCTGCTCCAAGAGCCTGAGTCCCACAGTACACTGCTGTGGCGTCCCCAGCCACAGGCTCCTTGAGGGATATCACAGAAGGAAAGGAGTGCAAGAGCCATTTTATCTATTCAGGAAATCTAATACATTGTAATTGTTGGAGGTGAGGTCACCAAAGGGAAGAGAATCCTATAATGTTTTACTTTTTGCAAGAATTATGAAACCCAACAGGTTAATACTACTAATTTCATCCTTACTTAAATCATACTAGCAGCCTTTACTACAAATAAAAAAACTACTTAATAAATGCATCTGATACAAAAAAGTCATAAAATCTAGAGTTCAGGAAGAAAAAACTCATTCTTTAACAGAAGGCAAACACACACTTGTAATCCTGAGTAGAGACTGAGAAAGGGGGCCAGTGAATTAAGGCCAGGTTGGCCTACAATGTGAGTTAGGACAGCCTGAGTTACACAGCCCCAAAACATGGAGGCAAAGGCAGGAGGACGACCATGGGTTGAAGGCCAGCATGGACCAGCTACACCCTATCTAAAAAATAAAACAAAACAAAATTGCATATATGTAAATATGTATGCAAGTGCAAACATGCACACATGCACAGAAAAATACACAAAAGATCTGGAAAGATACAGTACACCAAACTCAAAGAGTTGTTACCTCTTAGGAGGGAGATGAGATGGACTAATTCTATAAAAAAAGTTGGTTTAACTGTTTTGCTATATCTTTTCTGAAGTACTTACAGTAAGGACCTATTTATATATTATTTATATAGCTTAGGGGCCAGGGAGATGGCTCAGTAGAATAAGCGCTTGCCTGGTAAGCACAAGGCCCTGAGTTCAATCCCCGGTTCCGCAAAAAAAAAAAAAAAAAGGAAATATATAGCTTAAAACAAAGCTGAACATGAGCCTTCAGGACAGACTTGGGCTCAACTTTCTGTTCCCCATTTAAGTGCAATTTTCACAACCTTATCAATAGTAGATACTACCAGTATCTTTAACTTTTGTAAATCTAAAGGCAAAATTTTGCAGGTCTGATACTATTTACACTGACATAAAATATAGAAAAATTGAGTAAAGACACAGAATACCTAGGAGAGTAAATTAAAACATGGCTACCAGAGCAGAATTCAAATTGGAGTATTGGGAGTAATGCGAACGGACCAAAAAGAAAATACAGTAACTATGGCAAAACGTTAGCAATGCAAAAGAGGAGAGCTGGGTGTGATCATGCTCCACACCTGTCATACCAGCATTCGGAGAAGCTGAGGAAAGAGGATTACAAGCATTTCAAGCGCAGTCTGGGCAACTGAATGACTTAGTAAGACCCTCTCTCTCAAAAAAGAAAAAAATCTGGGGACTTTGTATATCGAAATGCAAAGGTTTAGATTCAATCTCTAGGACTGCCAAAAAGGGGCTGAGGAACAGAAATCAGTGGAGAAATGAGGTTAAGAATTTTGGTTCCTATTTTTCCTACTTTTTAATTTTCCTCTAATTTGTGCTGAGTCAAGGGGTCCAGCTCAAAGGGGGCCCTTTCAGCTATTTTACAGACTATCAAAAAAACAATACCCGAGATACTGAAAGGAGGGGAGAGCCATGCACAGCTGGAGGCCTTGTAAGAGATACTCCTTTTCCTATTGTCAAGAAAAAAAAAAAAAAGAAAAAAAAAAAACAAGAACAAATTTGGGTGGAAGGGTAGTAGGGAGAACTGAAATTACTGAAGTAGGAAGCAGGGTCATCTGAAAGAAGGGAGACTATGAAGAAAGCTTACAACACTCACTGCTAAGAATACAAGGACACACTGACTGGAGAAATACGGTTCTGAGCAATAACGACAATCCTTCAATTTGTTGAACATAAAGGACTGAGACAATCAGTCTGCAATGATTCTGTGCATAACCACAGAACTAGCAAATAACAGGCTTTATACAGGGTTGCACTCTGACCAAGGGGGTGTGAAAAGATAATCAGGAAATGGAGGTGGCAGGTACTGGGAAGAATTTTACTGAAATGACGAACCAGGAAGACAAGCAGAGCCGAAGCTCAAGACAAATCAGTAAGACTGATGACCCGCGAAAGCAGTAGAGTCAGAAGACAGACTATTCTGGTAGACAAGAAAACTAAACACTCTGGGAGCAGATGTGAGGAGGATATACGGAGGGAGTTATATCAGTGATTCTTCAGAGTAATTGTGGGCAGTGACTCAGTCAAAGATCTGGCATGGGAATGGAGTACGGACAACTCAGGAGCAACAGCAAAGGTTGCTATAAACTGGTGCAGAGCCAAGTGCCACCTGCAGAAGGGTGAGCTTCTTTTTTTAAAAAACAGTTAACAGTCTGAAAACTGTTTTGTTTTTGTGGAACCAGGGACTGAACTCAGACTACTGAGCCATCTCCCCGGCCCCATGATAACTGTTTTGATCAACTAACTAGCCTGCTTTAAAATTTTTTCATCTCCATCCCATCAATGAACCTGAAGATAGGTAACAGAAATGCCCCAAAGTACAACCTAAAATTAACAAAATTAAAGAGTATCAATGACCTCCAGGACAGAATCAAGACTATCTCATATAGTCGAATACATATTACTGAAGTTCCACAAGGAAGGAAGGGAGAAAAGGGGGAAAAAAACAAACACTTGGAGATATACTGGGTGGGAAGTTTCCAAATTTGATCAAACAAATACACACACACACACACACACACACACAGAGAGAGAGAGAGAGAGAGAGAGAGAGAGAGAGAGAGAGAGAGAGATTCATTTAGTTCAGTGATTTCCAAGCAGGCTAAATATAAAAATTACACTAAGGCACTTCAAAGTCAACTACTGAAAATCAATTCTATGTAATCTTAACAGAGAAAAGATCACATATATAAGAACAAAAGTGGGAAGAGAAGAATCTTTTCATTGGACAATGGATGCCAGGAGAGGACGAGATTTTTAAAGTTCTGACAGAAAAAAGAACATTATCCACAAAGAAATTTTTATATCTTTGCTTGAATACAAAATAAAACCAAAATAAGTACATTTTCAAAAAATGATAGTTGTTGGGGGCTAGGGTGATAGCTTAGTAGAATAAGCACTTGCCTGAGTTCAATCTCTGACATTGAAAAAAAAAAAAAAAAAAAAGACAATTGTAAAAACGTGTTGCCTGCAGACTTACTACACAAGGATTAAAGAAAATTATTATATCAGATATAAATTTAAATATACAGAAAAGGAAGAGCACTGAAGATAAAAACCACTAAGTAAATAAAAGACCTTTTCTTTCCAACATCCCTTAAATGTCACTTGACTATTGCTGTCTCAGTTACTTTTCTCCCTGGTGAGACAAAACACTGAACGTTCAAAGTTAAAGGAAGAAAGGTTTTTTGGCTCACAGTTTGCAGAAATTTCAGTCTACAGTGGGCTGGCTCCAAGGCAGAGTAGCACAGCAGAGGGACACTGGAGAGGAGAAACAGTTCATGGTATGCAAGCAGCAGTGAAGCATCAAGGAAGCAGCAGCAATAGCCTACTTCTTCCTTTTACCTCTTTCAGGATACCCACCCTTTGGGTGGTGCCACCAACACCCCAGGTGGGCCTTCCCATTATCCAGACCCAGAACTATGCCACACCAATCAATGGGCTAATTTAATAATCACACACTCTTAATCCCAGGATTAAATCCATCTAACCTCGAAAAGCCCCACTTATGTCCACATCTAGACATAAGCCCTAACATTTGCTATGATTTTCTGGGCATGGTGGTGCTTACTTGTAATTCCAGTACTCAGGAGGCTGAGGCAAGAGGATCACTGTGAGTTCAAGGTCAGTCTGAACTACATAGTAAGATCTTGTCTCAAAAAAACGAAAACAAACAACAAAATAATTTGCTATAATTTGAATGCCCTCTGACATTTTTATAACTATCTTTTTTTTTCAGTCATCAGTGTGACTGTATTATTAAGAGATGAAACCTTTAAGAGATGAACAGCGCATAAAGCCTCTTCTCATGGGCAGAATTAAAGTCTTCCTGAAAAAGGCTTCATGCCACATTAGACTGGCAGGCTGGCCTCTCCTTCTGACTTCTACCATGTGATGATACAACATGGCCTAACCAGACATCTTGCTCTGGATTTCTCAGCTTCCAGGAATGTGAGAAAAAAAATTTTGTCCTTTATAAATTATCTAGTCTCACGTATTTGGTAGTAAAAGCATAAAATGAACTAAGACAACTGTTCAAACAAAGAAACAAAATAACAATGTATCACAAGCCCTGTAACACATTTTGTTAGGGATGTGAATTATAGGGTTGTAAGAATCTCACATCATATGAAACAGCATGAGACTAATTCCAGTATACAGTTGAAGATGTAATTGTTTTTTAAAAATATATACGTACTAACTATATAAAATACAAAAGAAAAAGGGGGAGAAAAGTAAAAATATATTCAATAAAATAGGAAAGAGAAATAACCAAAGTACAGAGATAACAGAAAACAAGGAGCAAAATGACAGACACACTCAATATCAATAACTACATTAGAGGGGGTGGGAATGTGTCTCAGTGTTAGAGTTCTTGCTTCATATCAAGGCCCTGGGTTGGTTCCTCAGCACTGCACACATATACATATATATACAAGAGACAAACACTGATTAGAAGAGACCATAAAACTGAATCTAAAGAAATATCCAATTATATAACCAACATAAAAGACATCCAAATTTTAATTAATTTTTCCCTATTAGTGTATATGACACATAATACATTCATTATGAGAAATATATATATATGTATGTGTGTGTGTGTCTGTGTGTATATCACATCTTGACCATTTTTCTTCCCTTACCCCTCACTCCCTCTTGTTTGAAGTTACAGATAAGTGAAAATAAAGAAATTTTATTTCTTGTAATTCTAACATTGAAGGGGCTGAGACAACAGAATTACAAATTTAAGGTCATTCTGGACTACACAGCAAGGTCCTGCCTTGGGAAAAAAAAAAAAAAGAAATAAAGATAAAATCTACAGTATATTATATAAACAACAATCATAAGAAAAAGCCAGTGTGGCTTTTACAATATCTCACACAATGGGCTGGTCAGATAGCTCAGCATATTAAAGCGCCTGCTTAGGCAGACATAGGGACCAGGGTTCAATCCCCAGCACGCAGTGCCAGCCCCACCCCTGGGGTGCACTGAGATGGTGACTGAGATGGGGCGTGGTGGCACATGCCTGTAATCCCAGTGCTTGGGAGGCTAAAAACAGGAGAATCACTATGAGTCCGATCTATGTAGTGAGATCCTGTAGACCCTGTACTAAATACATAAAAAAAAAAAAAAAGAAATACAAAGACTTATAGGAAAGGAATATTACCAAAGATAGAAATGTTTGTATAACATTAAAAAAGTACATGAAGGCAAAATGTATGCATCCATATGCATGTATGTACTTGTTGGTCAAAGGATACAAACTTCAAATACGGGGAAATATGTTACAGATCTTTATCATACAACATGGTGACTATAGTTAATCATAATGTCTTGCATTTGTAAAAATTTCCAAGAGAATAGATTTTAAGTGTTCCTACCATCAAAAAAGAATGTGAAGTAACATATATAAATTACCTCAATTTATGTACTCCACAATGAATACATATTTTAAAACATCTATATATCATAAACATACCCAGTTTGGTTAATGAGAACACACCTTAGAATCACAGAAAATGAACAATTCACACACACACACACACACAAGGGAGGTGGGAAGAGAGGGAGGGAGGGGGCAAGGGAAGTCAGAAAACATTTCAAACTGAATTTTGAAAATACGTAACAAAATTTGAGTGGTATATCTAGAACAAAGTGAAAGAGAATTTTATTGCTTTAAGTACCAATATGAAAAAAAAATATTGATTTTTAAAACATCTCAAAATTTTTGACACTATTCTCATCATGAAGTGATGAATCTAAATCTCTTCTGTATGGGCTAGTCTTAGTGACTACCTCCCAATCATTTAGGGTACAAATTCCTACCAAGGATAGGTTAGAAAAGATAAAAGAATATATATTTGGCTTTTTCTCTTGAAACACTTACCACCCTTGGAACCCATCAAGTTTCAAGGGAGCCCAGGGTATATGGAAAGGAGCCAGTGCCCCCCAGCTTTCAGCCTGGTACCTCCCAGATGACAGCCCATAGCAGCCCAAAAGCCATGTGAGAAAGCTGTCATTCATGTGTGTCCCCTAACCCACAGTTGAACTGCTCTTGCTAACACACATGAGGCAGGTGCATGCTTTCCCCACAGAACTCAACTCAAATTTCAGATTCCTGAGAAAAACAAATGTCCACTGGCTCAACCCTAGACTTTTGGGTGGTTTCATACATGGCAAGACATAACTGAAAAAAGAAGAAAGGTTATAACCAGGGATCTAAATTATTACCTCAAGCTATGAAAAGAATAAATAATTGTAAAAAAAAAAATCAAATCAACATGGAAGAAATACACAACAGATGCCTTTTTTTTGTTTTTTTTTTTTTTTTTTGCAGAACCAGGGATTGAACTCTGGCCCTTGTGCTTGCCAGGGAAGTGCTTATTCCACTGAGCCATCACCCCGGCCCCAAAAGGCAGAAGGGTTTTTTTGTTTTGTTTTTTGTTTTTGCTCCGAATGCCTTCAGGGCAGGTTTGGCTGGCTTGAGTTGTGGGGATTGAACCACAGCAACCTGAGCCTGCCTGCTTTGTTGAAGCAGCCACTTCAAGAACTGAGCTAAGGGGCAGGCCCCCCAGATGCCATATTTAGTTCTCAAAGCTCAACAAATTTGCTATAGGTCCTTTACATAAAGTTTGCTAACCCCTAAACTAGATTTTATCAAAATTAAATCTATCAGTCTAAAGATACTCAAAGATTCATAGTTTCTAATCTAAACATATCAAAGTATTCACAGTTTCTAAACAGGTGTATGAATCAATATATCCAAGTATGTGTAAACTTATTTGTATCTATGTGTCTATTGTTTCTTGCTCTATTCAAACAGCTAATAATGACACTGCAGGAGCAATAAGCACTCTGATCACCTAGGTCCTGGGCTCCAATGATCACTCTCCACTAAAACACAGAGAAATGAGCTTAAAACATCTCATGATACAAGAGAGAAATGACTCTTTATGAAATGATTTGGGTGTATCACAAGGACACAAGGACAAGTTGATTTGAGTCTCTCACTAGTCAAACCTCAGCCAACTTGATAAGTTATTAAGGAGTATGTGGGAGAGCTTCCAGCTTCCCTGCACCTGCAGGACCTTCCCGGACCAAAACCCAGGCACGCTGTGTGAGTGAGACCCTCTGCTGTGCCCTTGGGATCCCTCCACCCCTCTGGAGCCCCCGCCCCCACGCCCGCTGAGTGAGAGCTTCTGTGACACTCTTGGGACCCCCAGATCCAGCCCAAGCCCAGGTCTGGCGAGTGTGTGGGAGAGGTTCTGCACTCCCCTTTGCCCCCTGGGCCAGAGGTACAATAGAGGGGAACCACAGGTTCACTTCCAAGGGCTGCAGCAGGAAGGAGCTGAACACAACAGCTAGACCCAAGCCAGACATAACTTATAAGTTATTAAACCTAGGAATAAATTACAAACCATTATGATCAGAAAATCATGTGTCCATGGTGATGGCGGGAGGGAAAAAGAAAAAAAAAAAAAAAAAAGAGAGAGAGAGGGCTCTTGCTTCTATGGAATGCCAACTGCTGAAAAACAAATGAAGATAGTAAGCCAGAATCAGGGACCACTGTGCAACCATCAAGGTAAAGTCTGGATCAGGCAGGAATTTTTACAATATGAGTAATAAGATATGTGCCTGGTCTATTAGTTGCAAAGGGGAAAATAAACTATACCCTGGGCCTCTTTTTGGCCTATGCCAAGTCACACTAAAAATTATATAAATAATCAGATGGTCAACACGGTAAAACTTGTTCTTCTATGAGTGTCATACACTGACTTCTTTAGGACTGGATATCTGCAATCACAAATAATTCCTTGCCCCTACCAAAATAACATGCTCGAGAACAACAGTAACCCTAAGCGAAGTCCCAAGCCTATTGAAAAATAAATGCATCATAAAAGGCGGCAGTGGAGGGGCTGGTGAGATGGCTCAGTGGTCTAAAGCACCTACTTAGAACAAGCTTAGCAAAGCACAGGGACCGCGGTTCAATCCCCCAGCACCACATGCCAGCCAGCCCCGCCCCCTGGTGGGCTGAGCTGGCCACACACACACACACACACACACACACAAAGGCGGCAGGGGGAAAGCAAAAGATTAGATTAAAAAAAAAACTCAGTATGTAATAAAGTTGTTACCTGAGTGGACTATAGCTGAATGCAGGTGTTCGTTCAAAGCCATGTTCCCGATAACACGCATGATATTTCTCTGAACTTTAGGGTAGTCCTTGTGAAGTTGGTACAGCCTCTGAAGTAGTTGCAAGCCTCCATTTGCTTTGATGTTATCACAGTGTGCAGATATCTAGCACAATAAATTAACAACAGCTTGTTTTATGTTGCACAGTTCACTATACAAGATGACACAGCATGCTTTAGGGATGACCACATGGCTCCTGCTCCCAAACAGACAAGCAGTCAGACTACTCAAAATTCTTCAGTCAATTTACTTAAATAAGCACATGCCTATCTATATGGGAAGTATTTCAAATTTTTGAAAAACTCTCAAGAAAACATATTTCACCAGAACTTCTGAAATTTTTATTCTGTGTTTAGTTTATCACACTAAAAAACTGTTTCAAGAACAAATCCCAGTCACCTTTAAGATTACAGGAGGGTTTGGGTCTAGGTAACCATGCTGAGATATGGTTTGAGATTCTCCCTAGATTGTCATCATGGGTAAATGCCTGCTCATCCCAGAGAGGTCACTGTGCACATCCACAGCATCACTGACAGAGTTGAGGAAAAAGGGGTTGCCCATTTTCTATTAGCAGTGGACTTTGAGAAAAAGAGATACACACATCTCCGGAGTTAATCTTTACTATGTGTCAAAGGTTTGGAGAACACTGATTAAGGAAGTAATTTCTTGATTGGTGGAAAAATAACTCAGATATGGTTATCTAATCCTGCTGGAAGGCTAAGCAGTGTATTATGCAGCATGCAGTTTAGTGTGTTATGCAATGCTTAATAAAAATAAAATAAAGAAAAAAAAATTTTCAAGCTGGGCATGGTGGTGCACACCTGTAATCCCAGCACTCTGGGAAGCTGAAGCTGAAGGATCACAAATTCAAGCCCAACCTGGGTGACTTAGCAATTCAGCAAGACCCTGTCTCAAAAACAAGATATTAAAAAATTTTAAAACATTTCTTTCAACTTATCGTGATACTTTAACTTAAAACTACTTTGAAATGTTTTTCCAATCTTTAGAACTCTGCCATTTGATACTAGGAAACAGTCCACTGAATAAGCAGGTAGATTTTGCTTCCATTAACAAGGACTCACACAGATCTGACAAATGACACCTGTGACCTCACACCCCACCCTCCACCATGCCCACAGCAATGAGGCTGGCCTAAAACTCAGGAAGGACTTAAAGAGGAACTTGAATTCTTAATGAAGAAAAGAGATAAAAGGAAAACAAAAAAAAAGGGAAATATTTACATTACGGCACCAGAATTGACCAAGTCATAATCTGCCTGACATTACTGGGTATAGTCTCACTTCATTGAAGCATGAGTTTAGCCACTGATACGACATGTCATGTATATATAACAAATTTCATCCTCAAATGTTTGTTGAATTGTATCATATTTTAAGTACACTAAAAAATATGCTTTTAGACATATACCAACTGAGACCTGTGCTAATTTGAAAGGTTTCTGGAAAGGTTAACACCATTGTGCTTTCTGCTCCAAATAAATTGGTTCCTTCAGGAGCCACATGGAAATCACATCACATGGAGTGCCTCCCCACATTCCTCCTACAAGCCTGCACTCACTCTACTTTATGGGCAGTACCTCATTTCATGGGGGTATACTTAGGAAATACCTAGGAAGCACCATGCTTTTAAACCATGTCTAGTCATTTACAATATTAAATGGAGAGTTTAGAATTTAGGGTTTCTGCTGATTTGAGGAGGATCACTGCACCAACCTCACTGGAGAGCCCTGCTACACATGCAAATTTCTGGATTCCATGCCAGATCAAATTGCCACGGATAAGCAAAAAATGTGCATTTTTAATGTGCTTCCTGGGTGATGTTTATGCATTACATTTCTGCACTACAGACTTGATACTTTGTTCTTTCTTAAATTTGTGATCATATCAGAAAACATTCCACAATACCAAAAAACTTAAAAATCACTGGTACATGATATAATTATGATTAAAGAATATATAGATGTTATGGAGAAACTATTAGAGCTTTCACTGATACAAATAGCTTGTTGCAGCATGAGTGCAAAAGGTTTGCCACCACCGGTCATCTAATATTGTCTTTTTTCCCCATCTTCCACATCTTTGGCAGATGTTTTAATAGAAATTAACTATCTGGTAATATGTGTAAAAAAAATCTCAGAAAAGTAGTAAAAGAAAGACTAATTGAAAAGTGAATGCTGGGGGTGGGGAGATAGTGCGGCAGTCTCAGCACCTGCCTGGCAAGTGCAAGAACCTGGGTTTGATCCCCGGATGCCATGCTGGCCCCAAAACTGAGAGTGGTGGCACACAACTGCAATCCCAGCACTGGGAAGCCTGGGACAATAGGATCACTATGAGTCCAAGGTGCACAGTGAGACCTTGTACCAAATAAGTAAATAAATACGTATTTTTTTTTAATTTTAAGTAAATAAAAAGTAAAGTGAATTCTATATTTAAGCAATGGGTTTCTTTCTTCATATGGAAGAAAAAAATACTTACCAAAATGAAGCTTGTGCACTATTGCTAAATCATGATTATCATTTCTAACAAATAAAATGAGAAAAAAGCAGAAATTTAAAAGTAAGTGAAGGTGGTATACACCTGTAATCCCAGCACTCGGGAAGCTGAGGCAGGAGGCTCAGAGCAAATTCAGGCCAGTCTGGGCTACAAAGTGAGTTCAAGGCCAGCCTAAACAACATAGAGACCCTGGCTCTAAAAGACCAGGAAAAACAAAAGCCTTTCTTTAACTTTTTATAATAAAGGAGGATTATTTCCCTTGCCCGAACCAACCTATACAATTTATTTCAACGTAACTAACCAAAGTAAACTACAAGTTTAATGGGAAAATTACCTCAGAATGTTTTACTATAGCTTCTAAACAAAACATTTCCACCGTAGCTGAAGGAACTTCTCCAAAGCTTTCAGCATAAGGAAGTCCATTTCCTCCAAAACACCATAAGCCACCCTGGAATTAAGATAGTTAAACTTTGTACTGAAAAATAATAAATATCTCTCTACCATATACAGTATTAGAAAGTCCTAATACGCATGGATCCTAAAAGACTTTAGAAACTTAAAAGGAATTATATGCAAACTTATTAGAAAATGTATGTTGCTTACTAGAAAACACATGGAATTATTATCAGGAGAGAACAATCTTGCATCTTTTTCCTTCTTTCCCCTCTGTATCTTTTCATCAAAAAGGATAAAGATTGACATACAACTCTTAATCAAGTAAGAAAAGCCCAGGGCTGATAATAATCTTCTAATGTTATCTCTTTTAGCCACTAGCAATTTGTACAATATATTATTTCCAGATTACATGAACAGGGTCTACTGCAAGTCTAATAATCAAAAAATTTTAAAAAGGAAAAAATTATCATGGGATAAATTAAAGACCACAATGATAATGAACACTGAGCTTTCAATTCTTCCCAAGTTGAAATTCAAGTTCATACAGAATAATAAGTAAGAATAGCTAGGAAAATTTTAAATTAGAAAAGTAGTTGGGGGCTGGGGTGATAGCTCTGGTGGTCTAAGCAGCTGCCTGGCAAGTGCAAGAACCCAGATTTGATCCCTGGTACCACATGCCGTGCCAGCCACAGGTCCCTGGGCACACTGTGCTGGCCCCAAAACAAGGGATGGTGGCACACACCTGTAATCCCAGCGTTGAGGAGGCTCAGACAAGAGGATCACTATGAGCCAGAAATGTGTAGCAAGATTCTCTATCAAAATAAAAAAGTAGTTGGAAGTATTCCTAATAGAAATGAAAACATAGCACAAAGAAGAAAATGGAGGAAATTTTTTAACTCTTCCATAGATCAAGGGTTAATATTAATAAACATTAATCTTTCATAAATCAGTGTGACATATACCATCAAC